TTAGGGTTTTGGGTTTAGGGTTTAGGGTTTAGGGTTTAAGGTTTAGGGTTTAGGGTTTAGGGTTTAGGGTTTAGGGTTTAGGGTTTAGGGTTTAGGGTTTAGGGTTTAGGGTTTAGGGTTTAGGGTTTAGGGTTTAGGGTTTAGGGTTTAGGGTTTAGGGTTTAGGGTTTAGGGCTCTCGAGGTTCAGGGTTCAGGGCTTAGGGTCAAGGGCATCCCCTAAACCCTAAACCCTAGGCCCTAAACCCCAAACCCTAAACCCTAAGTCCTAAACCCGAAACCCTAAACCCTAACATCTCTCCAGCTTGCAGCCCAGGCACAAATCAGGAAGCTCGAGAAGTACTGCAGCAGGCAGAGGCAGGCAAACAGCCACCGGGGGCATGCAGCCAAGGAGGAGAACCTCCGAGCAACCACGGGTGTAGGGTTTAGGGGTTTAGGGGATTAGGGGTTTAGGGGTTTAGGGTTTAGGGTTTAGGGTTGAGGGTTTAGTGTTTGGGGTTTAGGTTTAGGGCAGGGGTGTCGGACTTGGGGTTGAGATTCTATGGGTTGCAGATGGGTGTCGGGCTGTGGGTGCTCTGGAACCGAAGCCGTACTCAGCTCTTGCTGGGGCATCATTGAAATTTCGCCAATGTGAAAACCGTCGCGTGCTGAAAGATCAAGGATGAAACCTGGCGTCTTGGCCCTGAACCCTGAACCCTCACCCTAAGCCCAATCCGCCTGAACCCTCTACCCTCCAAACCTAAACCTTACTCGGCGAGCTGTTCAAGGCTGTATCTGAGCATCCTCAACCATCGAAGACTCAAAGCCTAAAGTGGAAAAATGCGCACCCTGAGCATAACCCAGCCTTGATACTTTCTGCCCTCCTACCCTCCTACCCCCGCGACTCTCCTAAACCCTAAGCCTTGAACCCTAAACCTTAAACCCTAAACCCTCAAACCCTGAATCTAAAGCTCCCCTAAATTCTAAACCCTACACCCTAAACCCTAAAACCCTGAATCTAAAGCTCCCCTTAACCCGCGACCCAGAACTGAAGACGAGGGGCAGCGAGCCCATCGGAACAAGGATCTGGGATAGCCTGGTTTGGGGTTTAGGGTTTAGGATTTAGGATTTAGGGCTTAGGGTTTTGGGTTTTGGGTTCAGGGGTTTAGACGAACAGTCCTCAATCGGGATATAGTACCCCTATTCTAATCCCGATTAAGGATTGTTAAAAACAACGGGGAACATCCCAAGTGTAAGGTGTAGACCTTCGGCATGGGTGCCGATGGGGTTGAGGATTGAGGGGTTAAGGGTTTACGGATAGGGTACTTACGGAGTACACAGTACTGGAGACCCAAAGTTACGAGTTCTGCAAAACTTCTGCAAACCCAGGTGAGACAACCCAAACCCCAAACCCTAAACCCTGCACCTTCAACCCCTAAATCCCCTAAACCCTAATGGACCCTTGTGGAGCACCCTTCCTTTCAGCAGAAATGCCAAGTGCAGGCATCAGAAATGCATCAGGAACGGGGCTTTCAGGGTATGGGGGGGGCATATGTGCCTTGACGATATTGGGGTAAAAAAGAACATATTTAATGTACAAAACTTGAATCAAATCATATCTCATATCATTCTACTAGTCATTCCCTTGAATCCTTCGTCATGCTGCAAATATTCAATTTTCACTATTTTCATGGTGGTAGAAGGCTATCATTGAACATGTTCGGCTGAACATAACAGAAGGTTGTTCAGCTGAACATGTTCGACTGAAGATTGCTGAGGTATGTTCATTCCCGAAACCTAAACCCGAACACACACGGACAGGAATCAAAAACACAAAACAGAACAAAACGGCGACTCTGGAAAGTCCACGTCCAAGGGGCGTCAGGGAGACGCGCCAGATGTGACGGCCGACCTGTAAAAGTGGAACACCCACCCGGAATCCGCCCCAAAAGTCGCCCCAAAAACGCCTACAAATCCCAAAGCCTTAACCCTAAAACCATCAACCACCCGAACCCCGAAGACCCTCAACCCTGAACCCTCAACCCAAGACGAACACTAGACCTTCAGCCAAAAAACCAACCTGGCCTCAGAGAGGACCCCCGTTTGCGCCCTGGCAGCCGAAACACTAAACCCGAAACGGTGTCCCTAAACCCGAAAACCAACTTGAGTGCTTCCCTACAGCCTAAAGCCTAAACCCTAAACCCTAAACCCTAAACCCTAAACCTAAACCTAGACCCCAAACCCCTGAACCCGTTAACCCCTAAGCCCAAAGCTTCGCTGAGGTGTAGAGGCTGACTGTTTGAGGGAGTGGCGAGGAGCCTTCATGGGTTCCCTTCTCTTCTACCCCCGCTAGGTTCCCGCAAAATTAAGGCGATTTAGAGATAACTAACCCTAATTAAAGTTTTTTTCTGGGGGGGGAACGTGGGGCAGCCCTGAACCCTAAAGCCTAAAACCGAAATCCTAAACCCTAAGCCCTAAGGGGGTAGTAGAGAGGAGCCTTCCCATCGCAGCCGACTGGGTCTGCCATCTCCGCACCGATCTGCCCTAACGTGCCGGCCAAGCTCCACCTCACTTTCGAGAAGGGAAGAGGGGGAACGGGAGGGGAGGTTTCGCACAACCCTATCCCCTAAACCCTAAACCCTAAACCCTAAACCCTAAACCCTAAACCCTAAAACCCTAAACCCTAAAACCCTACACCCTAAACCCTTGCGAGGGCGGGGGGAGGGGGGGAGGTTCTCAAAGTTGAGGTTTAGTGTGCAGTGGCTGAGACAATGCCAAGCCGAAGATACTTTCTCGGGGGGTTCCTCAAGAAGGAGGACACTGAATTTAGGGCCTAAATGACAACCGTCCTAAGCCCTAAACTCTCAACTCTAAACTCTAAACCCTAAAGCCCTAAAACCCTAAACCCTAAAACCCAAAAACTCTAAAACCCTAAAACCCAAAAAACCCAAACCCCCAAAACCCAAACGCTGAACTCCCTAAACCCTAAAGTCTCCCGAAACCCGAAACCCCGAACCCCGAACCCTAAACCCTAAACCCCTAAACCCTAAACCCTAAACCCCGAAACCCCAAAACCCGAGGAAGGGCTGCGGGGCAGAAGCGCAGCTCAGCCGCTGAGTGATCTGCGTCAGCGTCGCGAGCACCTCAGCATTCGGGTCCCCTGCTTTGCTTTGCGGATTTAAGGGGTTTAGGGTTTAGGGTTTAGGGTTTAGGGTTTAGGGTTTAGGGTTTAGCGTTTAGGGTTTAGGGTTTAGGGTTTAGGGTTGTGTGCGGCCCCAATATTCTAGAGTTCTGTGTTTGGGGATCTCCTGCCCACTTCGCTCTAAATTCCTGAGCCCTGAACCCCAAACCCTAAACCCCAAACCCCAAACCCTAAACCCCAAACCCTAAACCCCAAACCCTAAACCCCAAACCCTAAACCCTCAAACCCCAAACTCTCTCCCTCCCAATCTTAGCCAAGGCTCCACGGGCACAATGAGCTGCCGCGGGCACTCTAAGCCCCTCAGCTTTGGGTTTAAGGTGTAGGGTTTAGGAGTTTAGGGTTTAGGGTTTGGGGTTTAGGGTTTGGGGTTTAGGGTTTAGGGCTAGGGGGTATAGGGTTTAGGGCAAGTCTACTTAGTATACCTTAGAGATCCTATTGGAAAAACCTACCTTGCTAACCCTACATGCTAGTCAAAAGGGCTTCCAAGTACTGAACTGCGCTACATACACGCAGGTGTTGATTTGTCAGGGTTGAAGGTGTTTGGGTTTGTGGTCTAAAGTTGAGGGTTTGGGGTTTGAATTTCAGGGCTTGGCCTTATGACATTAAATTGGAAGACATTCGCAAACTTTCAGGTTACAAGTCCCCGAGAAAGAAGAAAAAAACACAGCAAAGGAGCCGTTGCTTGTACATCCGTGTTGTAGTTGGCACACCCGAGGAACCCAAACCCTAAACATGTGGCTAGCGCCGAGTCACACCTTTCAGGATTCGAGGCTAAAGCCGAAACCCTAAACACAAAGCCCTTGTTGGGACCCTGTACTTTAAGGACTCTACAGTACCAAAGTTTAGGGGGATGGATTAGGGTTTAGGGTTTAGGGTTTAGGGTTTAGGGTTTAGGGTTTAGGGTTTAGGGTTTAGGATTTAGGGTTTAGGGTTTAGGGTTTAGGGTTTAGGGTTTAGGGTTTAGGGTTTAGGGTTTAGGGTTTAGGGTTTAGGGTTTAGGGTATTAGGGTTTAGGGTTTAGGGTTTAGGGTTTAGGGTTTAGGGTTTAGGGTTTAGGGTTTAGGGTTTAGGGTTTAGGGTTTAGGGTTTAGGGTTTAGGGTTTAGGGTTTAGGACCCCGGAACAACTGCTTAGCATTCGGCAGGGTGGCGACAGCTGGGCCAGGCAGCGGCTTCGTGGCACATCTTGGAGATCCTGAGCACTTTGTCCGGAAACCTTATAGAGTTTAGGGTTTAGGGTTTAGGGTTTAGGGTTTAGGGTTTAGGGTTTAGGGTTTAGGGTTTAGGGTTTGGGGTGTAGGGTGTAGGGTGTAGGGTTTAACGTTTTGGGTACTTTAAACCCTCAAGCCCTAAAACCCTGAAACGTAAAAACACCCTAACACCCTCAACCCGCCCATCGACTCACACCCTCCCCCACACCCTCCACTCCAGCTCATGGAGTCCAGTTCTTCGGGTGTACCCTAAACCCTAAACCCTAAACCCTAAACCCTAAACCCTAAACCCTAAACCCTAAACCCTAAACCCTACGCACCCTACAGCCTAAAGCCTCGTTCCTTGTTGGGGCCACTTGCTCCTCCAGTGCGAGATCTCTCACCACAAGTGCGGGGACGAAGTGCGTAGCTCATGGGGCTAGTCGGGTCTAGGGTTGACAAGGTTCAGATCCCCGAAAATGCCTGGTTCGGTGTTATTTGCTTTGCGGTTTAGGCTGATTCTCGCAACCCCTTCGTCACACATGTTCAATGGTGCATGAAGGACGCGAGCGAGCAGTTCGTGTGTAGCGAGCCCGAAACCCCGCAACCTTTCCCCGGTTTTGCCGAGTATCTTCACCGGCTTTGGTGCTTGACTCGGAGGCCGTAGTTGAATCGGTCTCCTGTCGACGAGGCTTTGTGCGCCCACGAATGCTTGATGGCTTGAGGGGCATACGGACTTCGGCACCGCAGACACGAAACAAACACCCCGGCGTCTCAAACGACATACCTTTACAGGACTGGAAACTCTGCCGGAATTACTGGCGAGCACCCTGTACGCTAAACCCGACTGCCCCATTACCTGCATGCAGCACAAAACTTGAGCCCAGAACTGTAACCCTTATTCGGATTGTTGGAGTTAGGGTTTCGGGTTTCGGGTTTCCGGTTTAGGGAATCCTCAACTGAACCTTTGAAGCTTCTCGGGCCACCTCGCCGTCCACCGCCGGCCGGGGGATCCTCGGGTGGACAGCAACCGAACTCTGAACGCCAAACCCCAACACCCAACACCCCCAGAAGCCGACCATAAAATTTCTAAAGCCCTTAGTAATTAGGGCCTGTTTAGGGTTTAGGGCTTAGGGTTTGGGGTTTGGGGTTTGGCGTCCCGAAAACCCCTAACCTTTGCTTTGCTACAGCCAAACCCTGAGACCCCCAAACCCTAAATCCTAATTAAACCCTAAACCCTAAACCCTAAACCCTAAACCCTAAACCCTAACCTCTCCTGCTGCCCAGGGCGCTCAACATCCAGCTCGCGAGCCTCTTTGCTCTGCGTGGCCTTCTCCCTGGGGCTGAAAGCTTATGGTTGAAAAGCGTTTGAGGCTTTAAGTGAGGTTTAAAGGCTTTCGGTTTAAGGGTTTAGGGTTTAGGGTTTAGGGTTTAGGGTTTAGGGTTTAGGGTTTAGGGTTTAGGGTTTAGGGTTTAGGGTTTAGGGTTTAGGGTTTCGGGTCAGGGTTTAGGGTTTAAGGCTTGTAGATTAAGGGGTCTTAGGGTTGCAGGTTCCACCATGCATCTTGCGCGGGGCGACTGAGGCCCGCGGGTTCCCCCAACCCCAGAAGCCTCAACCACCCTCCCCACCAAGTCCCTGTGTCCCTAAACCCTAAACCCTAAACCCTAAACCCTAAACCCTAAACCCTAAACCACAAACCCGAAACCCAAAACCCTAAACCAGAAAGCCCCGAAACCCTGAACCTGAAGAGTTGAACTTGCTTAGGGCTCGAGCCCTTCCACCCACTAGTGCCCTTCGCAAGCGGAGATCCCAAATCGCGCGCCTGAGCCCGATGCCCCTCCGAATGATCACAACCCAGGCAACCTGAGAGGCAACCCTTAAGGGGCTTGAGGGCTTTGGGTTTGGGGTTTCGGGTTTTGGCCGTTTTGAGGTTTAGGGTTCAGGGTTTAGGGGCTTTGGGGCTTAGAGGCTTCGTAGGGTTGAAGGTTTAGGGTTTAGGGTTTAGGATTTAGGGTTTAGGGCTTAGGGTTCAGGATCTTGGGGTACCATCCATTGTCCATTGTCCTTCCAATGAAGGTGTGACTTGGGCTGTTGGGAGTGCTTTGGCTCAAAGGCCAGAGATGGCTGTTTAGGGCTTAGGGTTCAGGGTTTAGGGTTTAGGGCTTAGGGTTTAGGGTTTAGGGTTCAGGGTTTAGGGCCTTTAGGGCTTATAGGGCTTAGGGAGCGGAAGTCGTCGTCACTTTTTTCTTCGCTATCGACAGGCCGAGAAACCTTTTAGTATTTCAGAATCACACACGCATGGCGCAACGATTCGCAGCCGTCGCGGCAAACAAAGGAAATGCCTCAAAAGCCTTCAAAACCCTTAAAGACTCTCAAAGCCCGTAAAAGCCCGTAAAAGCCCTTAAATGCCCTTAAACGCCCTTAACAGCCCTTAAACAGTTCTTAAAACCCTTTAAAAACCCTTAACGCCCTGTAAAAGCATTTAAACACACTTTAAAAGCTCTGAAAAGACCATAAAACCCTTTAAAAACCCTTGAAAGCTCTTAACAGCCATTAAACCAAAAAAACCTTTCAAATCCGGCAAAGAACTCCTTAAAAGCCATGAAACGCCACGTAAAAGCCTTAAAAGCCCTGCAAAACCCTTGACAACCCTTAAAAGCCCCTTTTGAAAGCCCCTTTTGAAAGCCCTGAAAAGCCCTTAACAGCCCTTAAAAGCCCTTAAAAGCCTTAAAGTTCTGCAATCATTACAAACCCCTTAAACGCCATGAAAAGCCCTTAAAAGCCCATGAAGACCCCTTTAAAGCCTTTCAGAACCCTTGAATCCCCTTTTTGAACCCCTTAACTAAGCTTCTTTGAACCCATAAAACCCCCTAAAAAGCCCTTAACTAAGCTTCTTCGACTATAAAACCCCCTAAAGACCTTAACTAAGCTTCTTTGAACCTATAAAACCTCCTTTTAAACCCCTTAACTAAGCTTCTTGAGCCTATAAAGCCCTTAAAAAACCCCTAAAACCCCCTTTTAAACCCCTTAACTAAGCTTCTTTGAGCCTATAAAACCCCCTAAACAGCCCCTTAACCCCCTAAAAAGCCCCTTAACTAAGCTTCTTTTGAACCACTGACCTGCCGCCCGGGTGGCCAGGCCCAGGCAGCTGATCAGGGTGTAGAAGGTGAAGAGCAGCCACCTGGAAGTGGGGTTTGGGGTTTAGGGTTTGGGGTTTAGGGTCTAGGGTTTAGGGTTTGGGGTTTGGGGTTTAGGGTTTAGGGTTTGGGGTTTAGGGTTTAGGGTTCATCACTCCGGGTCGAGCAGTTTTATGGTAAAGCTGTACTTACGGCTCAGATATAACACCCACCCACCCAGAGAATCCCAGAACATTGAAAAAGCAAAAAAACGGCCTTATTCCGAAAATAAAGCGGCCCTATTCCGAAAATAAAGCGGCCCTATTCCGAAAATAAAGCGGCCTTATTCCGAAAATAAAGCGGCCTTATTCCGAAAACAAAGCGGCCTTATTCTGAAATAAAGCGGCCTTATTCCGAAAATAAAGCGGCCTCATTCCCAAAGCAAAGCGGCCTTATTCTGAAAATAAAGCGGCCTTATTCCGAAAATAAAGCGGCCTTATTCCGAAAATAAAGCGGCCTTATTCCGAAAATAAAGCGGCCTTATTCCCAAAACAAAGCGGCCTTATTCCGAAAATAAAGCGGCCTTATTCCGAAAATAAAGCGGCCTTATTCCGAAAATAAAGCGGCCTTATTCCGAAAACAAAGCGGCCTTATTCTGAAAATAAAGCGGCCTTATTCTGAAAAACTCAATTAGCCTTTAGCCCGATTTTGGTGTTATTGAAAATACAGCGGCCTTTTTCTGAAAATGAAGCGGCCTTATTCTGAAAAATAAAGCGGCCTTATTCTGAAAGTCAATAAAGGCTCACATATATATATGGTAGAGAGGGTTTGGGGTTTAGGGTTTAGGGGACATTAGAGTGAGGAGTTCAGGGGTTTAGGGGTCGATAGGCTTCGTAAACTTTTTTCATCTACTCTCCGCCGACCCTGGCGGCGTGTTGGATGGGAAAAGGAGGCGAAAACCTCCCTCTTTCCCTCCTTACCCCCCCAAAACGGGGGGGGGGGGGGGGTAGGGGGGGGTCCCCGGGCAGCTTTTAGGGCCAGGCCACCCACACGGCATAAACTCACGGACCATAGGCGGTTTCGCACAGGACATAGGGGCCCCTTCTACCCCCCCCTTACCCCCCCCCCTACCCCCCCCCCTACCCCCCCTCCCCCACCAACTTTGGCATCCTTTGACCTGACGAACGCGCTTAAACCTTTCAACTATGCTCCAGCGGGGTCGGCGGCTTGAGCCGGAGGCTCTTAAATTCACACACCTTTAGAGCGGGTGGAGGGCTATATAAGGGTTTTAACGGTCCAGACAGTAAACTCATTGGCTCATTTTGCCCTCTGCTTCTGAAGCTTGCTGGTCTCATAAACACCCTGTAAATGCTGATAGCTTAGGGTGCCGGGTTGAGGGGTCCCTCAACAAAGCATGTTTGCTAATTTCCGGGACGCACAAGGCCCTGCAATGTAACTGTGGTGTTTGGTGGAACTCGAGCGGGCAAATTCCGCAGCACCTGATTGGGGATCCAGGATCTCATCTCCCGATCCCATTAGCGAAAAAGACCCTCCTGAATCCTAAACGAGGCCAGGTGTCGTGGGAAACGTGTGGACGTTGCCATCAGGACTTTGCAACTCCGCCAAAAAGGCGGTGAACATACCTGGCACTGCGTCTTTGGATCGTGAAGGGGCATGCTTTTGGTTTCCCTAAACCCTGAAGGCTGAACCCAAAACCCTAAACCCCGTGTGGGGTTTGGGGTCAACCCCAAATAGTAGGATTCCCTTAGAATAAGCACCCCAATAAGGTGCCCATAATATGTCAAATCCCATGTAGCAAACAATACAGTGCCCCCATCATGGTAACTTAGCGGCTTGCGGCACCAATCCTTGTAGACCTCAAACCCCAGACCCTAATCCCTAAACCCAAAACCCCAAACCCTTGACTCTAAACTGACCTGGGTGGGGTTTGGGGTTTAGGGTTTGGAGTTTAGGGTTTAGAGTGTAGGGTTTAGGCCTTAGGGTCTGGATGTAGTGGCAGCCAGGGTACTTGAGAGGTCTGTGCCTGCCCGCACCGGAGCCACCAACCAGCCACCGTAGTAGGTCGAAATCAGCCTGCGCCATTGCGCGAACCAACTCGGTGGATTCCGAAACCTTATTGGGTCCCTATTAAACGGGGATCCTTCTATTTGGGGTACCTTATTGGGGTCCTTTTTCATAGGGAATCCTTCTACTTGGGGGTCTATTTTTTGGGTTCCCCCATCTTCGTAAACCCCCACTTTGCTTCGGGGGTTCAGAGTTTAGGGGTTTAGGGTTCGGGGTTGTAGCTGCTGCTCGGCCCCGTTTGCAAAGGAGAGAAATCTGTGCCTCTCATCCGAACGTGGCGGAAGGGTTGGTTGCAAAACCATCTGATCGGACATTTAGACTAGATGCATCAGTCATTCCCCGAAACTGCGGTCCAGTTCGGGTCCCTGTTACAACACCCCTTTACCCTAAACCCTTTACCCTTACCCTAAACCCTAAACCCTAAACCCTAAACCCTGAACCCTAAACCCCAAAACAGGCACCAGAAGGCCCAGCGGCGGGAAGAGCATTAGGATGGAGCCATTGCCCAGGATCGACCCAGTCACGGCGGCCACCAGGACCATCGGATAGCCTGGAGGCACTCAGGGGCCACAGTACGCTTTAAGGTTTAGGGTTTAGGGTTTAGGGTTTAGGGTTTAGGGTTTAGGGTTTAGGGTCTAGAGTCTAGGGTTTAAGGTTTAGGGTTTCAGGAAGACTCCCTGAACCTATACCTGGCCTGGCTTTACAAACGAGAGTTAAGGGACTCAGACAATGAAGCGATGGTGCCTTTGTAGTGCGACGGCTCAGGGGCTGAGGGTTTGGGGACTTATAAGGGTTTAGGGTTTAGGGTTTAAGGTTTAGGGTTTAGGGTTTAGGGTTTAGGGCTTTGACCACCCAGGAAGGCCACTCCAAGCCTGGCGGAAAAGCATCCCAAGCCAAGGCCAACATGGCGAAGCCTTAGCAGCTCAAGCGGTTGTTGGGTTTTGGGGCGTGAAATCTGGGGTTTAGGGTTTAGGGTTTAGGGTTTAGGGTTTAGGGTTTAGGGTTTAGGGTTTAGGGTTTAGGGTTTAGGGTTTAGGGTTTAGGGTTTAGGGTTTAGGGTTTAGGGTTTAGGGTTTAGGGTTTAGGGTTTAGGGTTTAGGGTTTAGGGTTTAGGGTTTAGGGTTTAGGGTTTAGGGTTTAGCGCTTAGGGCTTAGGGTTTAGGGTTTAGGGTTTAGGGTTTAGCGCTTAGGGTTTAGGGTTTAGGAAGTTTAGGGTTTATAGGGAGTGCTGTGCACAGGCAACACTCTAGGGTTCTTAAGGGAGGGGGGTTCAAGGGGGGTATGCACTACTCCCTAGGCTAAGCTTCCCTAAGGTTCCCTATGAACCCTAAACCCTACCCTAAACCCCTAAACCTCTAAACCCCTAAACCCCTAAACCCCTAAACCCCTCAACCCCTAAACCCCTAAACCCTAAACCCCTAGACTCAAACTGCACGTGGAAAATTCGAAACACGATGATCCCCTTCACGCACTCGAGTGTGAAGATCCTACCCAAAAAAAGGAAAGGAACAAAGAAACGACCCCAAAAAGAAACCCCCACCAATTTTCGGAAACCTCCATCTGAAACTCATAGAAGATCCAAACAAGGCTTGGAGAAACGATTTCGGATAAAGACCCGAAGGCGCCAAGAACCCAAAATCCCGCAAGAGACCCGAGTTCCCTTAGCCCTGAACCCTACCAAACCCTAAACCCTAGATACTAAAGTTCCTGAGTCAACGGCTGGCCCTGAAACAGCCCAACCCCTAAACCCTGCACCCCTACACCCCAAAACCAGAAACACCCCCCTTAACCCTGCACCGCTGAACCCCTCAACCCCTAAAGCCCCTAAACCCCGAAACCCTACACCCCTAAAAACCCTCAACCCTAAACCCTAAACCCCTAAAACCCCTAACGCCCTAAACCCTAAACCCTAAACCGCTAAAACCCCTAACGCCCCTAAACCCTAAACCCTAAAGCCCCTAAAAACCCTAAACCCTAAACCCCTAAACCCGAAACCCTAAACCCTAAACCCTCAAACCCCAAACCCTAAACCCTCAAACCCCAAACCCTAAACCCCTAAACCCCCAAACCCCTAAACCCCAAACCCTAAACCCCGAAATCCCCAAACCCTAAACCCCTAAACCCTAAACCCCGAAACCCCTAAACCCTAAACCCTAAACCGTAACAGGCCAAAGCACTCACCACGCCAAGCAGGATCAGCCCTGTGCTCCATCCCTGCTCCGCACCTCGCGGGGTTTAGGGTTTAGGGTTTAGGGTTTAGGGTTTAGGGTTTAGGGTTCAGGGTTTGGGGTTTGGGGTTTAGGGTTTAGGGTTTAGGGATTGGGGTTTAGGGTTTAGGGATTGGGGTTTAGGGCTTGGGGTTTGGGGTTTAGGGTTTAGGGTTTGGGGGTTTGCGGTTTAGTATTTGGGGTTTGGGGTTTAGGGTTTGGGGGTTTGCGGTTTAGTATTTGGGGTTTGGGGTTTAGGGTCTGGGTTTGGGGTTTGGGGTCTAGAGATTGGGGTTTAGGGTTTAGGGTTTAGGGTTTGGGGTTAAGGGTTTGGGGTTTGGGGTTTAGGGTTTAGGGGCTTTGGTGTAACCCTACAGTATTTGGGGTGAGTTGTGTCTTCAGAGGAGGCTTCGGGGGGCAGGGACGTTTGGGAGGGCCTGGAGATTTCTTGAGATCTGGAGCTGAGGGCTTGGGGTTTAGGGTCAGGGTTTAGGGGGCTCAGGGGCTTAAGCATGCTAGGGTTTAGGGTTTAGGGTGTAGGGTTTAGGGTTTAGGGTTTAGGGTTTAGGGTTTAGGGTTTAGGGTTTAGGGTTTAGGGTTTAGGGTTTAGGGTTTAGGGAACCCTGACCCCATCACAGTAAACAATGAACCCAAGCCCCAAACCCTAAACCCTGAACCTCCAAAACCTGAACCAGATAAGAAACCCCTAAAGCCAAAACCTGAAACCCTAAGGCACCCTGAACCATAATGGCATACCCTCTAAACTCACCCTAAACCCTAAACCCTTACCCCTAACCCTAAACCCTAAACCTTGAACCCTAAACCCTAAACCCTCAGAGTTCCGAGGGCCCCGCGTCGCGAGGGCTTGCCGCAGGTCACCATCCAAAGGAAGTAAAAGCCACAAAGGAGCCTGGGAGCCCAGTAACCATACTACAATAACGGCACCCCTTTTTTGGGTTCAGGGTTTAGGGTTTAGGGTTTAGGGTTTAGGGTTTAGGGTTTAGGGTTAGGGTTTAGGGTTTAGGGTTCAGGGTTTAGGGTTTACGGTTTAGGGCTACATTACAAGGGACACCTTGAAGCAAAAGGAAAAAGGGTACCACGGGGCCACATAGGAGCAGGCTGACGATCGAGCCAACTAGCGCAACCTCGCCCATCATCTTTCCTTGCAAGCTTCCAAGTGTAGGGTTTAGGGTTTAGCGTTTAGGGTTTAGGATTTAGAGTTTAGGGTTTAGGATCCAAGCACAAGAAAAGCTGTCGAAAGTCAAGCTGATGGCCGGAACTTGGCGCATCGGTCAGAAATAGCTACTCAGACCTAAACCCCTAAACCCTCAGGCCCTAAACCCTAAACCCTAGCCCTAAACCCTAAACCCTAAACCCTAAACCCCAATTCCGAAACCCCAACTTCAAGGCCGCACGTTTGACGTGCAACAGGCCTCCTCGAGACACGTCTGGCTCGTTGGCGATGAGGTTGAGGATGCCTTGTGCAATAAGCGTTCAGAGTTTCTGGGTTTAGGGTTTAGGGTTTAGGGTTTAGGCTTTAGGGTTTAGGGTTTAGGGTTTAGGGTTTAGGGTTTAGGGTTTAGGGTTGGGGGCTTAGGGTTGGGATGTCCCCTTCAAGCAGTCCTTAATATAGGGATCAATAGGGGGTACTATAATCCCTATTACGGACTGTCAGCTTTTCGGGGTTTAGGGTTTAGGGGTTTAGGGGTTAAGGGTTGAGGGTTCAGGGGCTAGGGTTTAAGGGCTTACGGCTTAGGGTTTTGGGTTTTGGGTTTAGGGTTTAGGGTTTAGGGTTTAGGGTTTAGGGTTTAGGGTTTAGGGTTTAGGGTCTAGGGTCTAGGGTCTCGGGCTCAGAGTTGAAGGTGTGCTTGAAACGACGATAAGGGCCAGGAAGCTTTTGACCTGGGTTCGAGTGCGTACAGTACATACCAGAGTGTAGGGTTTAGGGGTTCAGGGTTTAGAGTTCAGGGTTTAGGGTTCAGGGTTTAGGGTTTATGGTGTTTAGGGTTCAACAACTTCCCAAACACTCCAACCACTTCCGCTCCTCTTCACCCCTGCCGCGACATTCTAGGGAAACATTGGGACACGTGTAAAGTTCAAAACGTACCTACACATGAAGGGAAGATTCTTCGGCTGTGCCAGACGTTCAGCCGACCGTCACCCAGCCAAAGTGGTTTAGGGTTTAGGTGTTTAGGGTTTTGAGGTTGCGAAAGCACTGTAAACCCTAAACCCCAAGCCCTAAACCCTAAACCCGAAACCCTAAACCCTAAACCCCAGCCACGCAAGCGGCATGCCAGGGCCCCGGGCCATTGATGACAAACCAGCCGCAGGAGGTGCCCACCGCAAGGAAGGCCAAATACACAAGGCCATCCTGGGTTTAGGGTTTAGGGTTTAGGGTTTAGGGTTTAGGGTTTAGGGTTTAGGGTTTAGGGTTTAGGGTTTAGGGGTTTAGGGGTTTAGGGGTTTAGGGTTTAAGGATTTCAGGATTTAGGGCTTAGGGTTTTGGGTTATAGGGGCTTTTTGGGGTTTGGGGGTCGAGGCTGAAACGAAGGGCTTGTTAAGGGTTTAAGATTTTGGGGGTCTAGGTTTAAAGTTTAGGGTGTTAGGATCTCGCATGTTGGGGATTTATGCTTTGGGGTTTTGCGGTTTCGGGCTTCGGGTTTCGGATTTTGGGTTCTTGCAAAGACATTCTAGATTCTAGAACCCAAAGCGTATCCAAACGCACTTGCACTCTTGCGAAACAACAAGGGGATCCTAAAAAATGATCACTGTATGGCATTGGTACTGGGACAGCAGCCAAGTTGCTACCCCAAAATAAATTGAACCTAAGGCTTTCAAAGCTCCTTGAACCTAAGGCTTTCAAAGCTTTAACCCTAAAACCCCGAAACTGTCCTAAACCCTAAACCCTAAACCGTAAACCCGGAACCCTAAACCCCAACCCATAAACTCTAAACCCTGAACCCGGAGCCCTAAACCCTAAACCCATAAACCCTAACCCTAAACCCTGAACCCTAAACCCTGAACTCTAATTACACCCTTTGGGGGGGAAGTCTTTCGGAGGGTTTTGGCTTTCGAGTTCAGGCTTTCGGGCTTTCTTGGGATGAAAAGGGGACTCCACGGTCTACCAAGGCCTTGCAAACGCAAACCAAACGGTTTTTAGGTTTGGGGTGTAGGGTTTAGGGTTTAGGGTTTAGGGTTTAGGGTTTAGGGTTTAGGGTTTAGGGTTTAGAGTTTTTTAGTTTAGAGTTAATGGAACAAGGTTTTCATGACATTGCCTGGCAGCATTGAAAACTCGCTGGCCAACGATTTCCCGGCAGAAGACAGCCATGGCGGAATTTGAGGACATCAACTTTCAGTTGAGTGCTCCCACTGCTGCGCAGTCAGAACATGTTGCGTGTTCAAGGCGGGCCAGTAATAGCAGCCAGAGTGAATCCAACACAGAAACACTGGCCAGTCCACGAACAATGTTCGAAAAGCGCAGCAACCAAGCTAAAGAAATGCATCAACCGTAAGCCCTAAACCGTAAACCCTAAACCCTAAACACTAAACCCTACACCCGAGAAGTGCCAAATTGACATCGCCGATTCGTGACTTGGCATTTTTTGAATGCAAAGTATGAGGGCTCCAGTTGAGAGGTTGGGGTCTGACAGTAGTATGGAATCTTAGTGAATGTATTTGTATGTTTGTTGTTTATTTATTTGTATATTGATTTATTTATTACTTATTTTGTTATGTATTTATTAATTTTATGTTTTTTATCTTATTACTCAGTTTTTGCTTTCATTGTAACTTATGATTCTATTGATATTGATAGTTGTAGTTTTACTTGGTCTTTTCATTTCGGGGTTGGTCCATTGGGAGGGGTGATATGTATATTTGTTCATCTATATTTTTGTAGATACAAATGTAAGTTTATTTATATTTATTGATGTTCATATATATATATGTATATATGTCTATAATAGATATACTTGTATATTTATACGTGTGTTTTGCTTATATTTGCGTTATGCTTAGGTTTATGCAGACGATCGTCCTCATTGAGCTCTGAGCTTCTTTTCGTCTCTCGAAAGTGCTGAAAGGTACAGGGAGTGGTGTTCGAGGAGAGTGATGGAAAAGCGGACCCTTGCGCTGTTCTTGCATCTGCCAAGCTTAGGGCGCAGCGCTTTGGGTTTAGGGTTTAGGGTTTAGGGTTCAGGGTTCAGGGTTTAGGGTTTAGGGTTTAGGGTTTAGGGTTTAGGGTTTAGGGTTTAGGGTTTGGGGTTTGGGGTTTAGGGTTTAGGGTTTAGGGTTTAGGGTTTTTAGTCCGGAGGTTTCCGAAATGAGGGGTGCCTTATTGGGATTCCTTTTTTCCGGGAATCCTACTATTTGGGGGGGTTTATATTAAGGGGTTCCTTATGTTCGTAAACCCACTGGCGGCAACAGGGGCAGTTTTATCGCCGGGCGATCCGGTCAGCTAGAGAGTTGTCCACGTGCAGCAGGTGATCCAAATCTTTGGCCAGGCCTGCCCGGCCAACGAAGGCTTTAGACGCATTAATCAACCCTCTTTGCCCTAAACCCTAAACCCCGAACCCTAAACCCTAAAGCCTAAACCCTAAACGCATGATGAAGGGAAGGAGATGTTCCTGCAAAGGCTGAGGGGCACGGCTTTGGGTGTCTTTGGATTAAGCGTTCAGGGAATAGAGTTTGGGGGTTTAGGGTTTAGGGTTTAGGGATTCGGGTTTAGGGTTTAGGGTTTAGGGTTTAGGGGTTCGGGTTTAGGGTTTCGGGTTTAGGGTTGAGGGTTCAAGGTTTAGGGCACACGTCGAAAGCTTTCCAGCGTTTGTGGCTGCAGAGCATAACGCACAAAGATGAAGAAACCCTAAACCCTAAACCCGAAACCCTAAACCCAAAACCCTAAACCCTTGACCCCAAACTTTTACAGGTTTGGGGACCCGCACCCTGCCTATGCTCCACCGAAGGTTGATGCACATGAAGCCATCCACGGGAAACTCCTGCACGAGAGAGGAAGGTGGCAATTGGGAGTCTTGCAGGGTTTAGGGTTTAGGGTTCAGGGTACAGGGCTTTAGGCTTCAGGGTTTAGGGTTTAGGGTTCAGGGGCACAAGAGTACCAAAAGACCTCAACACTTCGTAGTTAAGAAACAGTTCTTAAGATCATATTCAGGCCCCCCCCTTTGCAACGTTCTGGAGTCTCTTCTTAGGGTAGGGCCCTTACCCAATACCCGGCCCGAACCCCTAAACCCTAAACCCAATACCCCTTTCATACCCTGTAGAACCCAAAGGGCCTTTCCTTCAAACCCTCAACCCTAAACCCTACCTGCCAACTCTCTACCACCCTTAACTTCAAGAACTGTAGCCCTAAACCCCTAAACCCTATTCCCTGAACCCCTAAGCCCCAACCCCTTATCCCTAAACCCTGAGCCTGGCACAACCCGGAGCCTGGAAGCCTGAATCATGCTGGCCGATAACGGCACAGGCCATTGTGATGGGGTATGTGGGGTTTAGGGCTTAAGGCTTAAGGAGTTAAGGGGTTTAAGGAGTTAAGGGGTTTAAGGAGTTTAAGGGCTTAAGGGGTTAAGGGTTTGAGGGGCTTGAGGGGTTGAACAGTTTAAGGGCTTCACGGCTTTAAGGCCCAGTTGTGCCCGTGCGTGCTCCTTGCGCAGAGGGTGCCCTTGTGGCAAAGGCATCCGGATCAATTGAAACTCCCGGTCCAGAAAACCTGCGGGCTTCTGTGAGCTGTGGATTTAGGGTTCTTTAACGTTAAAAAACCCCATTTAGGGTTTTTTTTTTAACGTTAAAAAACCCTAAATGAGCTGTGGAGGTCGGAAGTTCGGGTTTCACCCACCCCCGGGCTCAGTTGAGGGGGCTTTAAATGTCGTCATGTACTTTTTTTGACGCTGGGAAAATACTTACTGAGCTCGACTTGTGGTGTGCAAGTTCGGGGGTTGCTTGCAACCATGCTGGCCCCCAAGCAACAACAAACCTAGAGGGTTTAGGGTTTAGGGTTTAGGGTTTAGGGTTTGGGGTTTAGGGTTTAGGGTTTAGGGTTCAGGGTTTAGGGTTTAGGGTTTAGGGCAACAAGCGCAGTTCAGGGCATCGCGCAGGCATTGAAACATAGCGACGGGCAATATATCGATTCTGCCACGCAGGCCACGGTTTTCGAAGGGTCGTGCAAAACGCAACCGAAATCGTGCCAACGACGCGTTTTTTGCATCCCGACAATTAACCCCAGCAAGGTTGTGAACAAATAACTAAATGAAGGGATATGTTGCGAATGTGTCAAATTGCCCGCGCAGGACAACGCTTTTGGCATGCGTCCCCGTGCTGCCAGAGCGCGATTGTAAGCCCAAAACTCACACCTGGTTGGGGGGTTTCGGGGGTACGCTTGGGGGCCTATCAAGATTATGTTTTAAGGCTTATAAGGATTTGAGAGTGGAACAAGGGCAATCTTTGGACAAAAAATATGTTCAAACCTACCCCTTCTTAGGCGGGTTAAGGTTGTCTGTTGCGGAGGCTACACAGAACCCGAAACCGTAAACCCAAATCCTTAAAGGTGGTCTGAAAGTGTCGCTTTCAGCTTGACTCAGTACGGAGGAGGCCTTCGGCTTGGAGGTTTTAAGGATTAAGGCTCCGGGGGTTTAAGGTTTAGGGTTTAGCGTTTAGGGGGTAGGGTTTAGGGTTTGGGGTTTAGGGTTTGGGGTTTAGGGTTTAGGGTTTAGGGTTTAGGGTTTAGGGTTTAGGGTTTAGGGTTTAGGGTTTAGGTTTAGGCTCTAGGGTTTAGGGCTTAGGGTTTAGAACTTTTAACGTGTTTCAGGAAGCACCGTTTGCCTGCCAGGAGCCATCTCGCCCGCCCGGGATTTATGAAAGCGACCGCAGGCTTGTTCTTTGTAACGAGCTCTGCAAGGCCCAGGTACAACCTGCGTGGGTTAGGGTTTAGGGTTTAGGGTTTAGGGTTTAGGGTTTAGGGTTTAGGGTTTAGGGTTTATGGTTTGAGGTTTTAGGGTTTAGGGTCTAGGGTTTTGGGTTTTGGGTTTTGGGTTTTGGGTTTTGGGTTTTGGGTTTTGGTTTTAGGGTTTACTGCTTTGGGTTTTGAGTTTTGGGTTTATAGGGTTTACCCTCTGACAAAAACTCCTCAGCACTTCAACCCAAAAGGGGTTCAGAAGTTCTGAACCCTAAGCCCTCAACCCTAAGCCCTGAGCCCTTTTAACCTCTTGAATCCAATACGGGAAGGTACAAAGCATCCCAAGCACTCGCCAAGCAACTTGGTTCCACCCAGGCGTCCCGGGACCCGCGGGAAGCGCCGGAGGTTCAACCGGGGCCTCTGACAGAGAACACGACGGGTTTGGGATTTAGGGTTTAGGGTTTAGGATTTTCCTTCATTTAGGGTTTAGGGTTTAGGTTTTGAGCACTTGTTCATTTGGAGGCATCGAAGGAGTCTTGGAGCTTCCAGTCCCAAGCACCACCCACAACACATGCTCCAATGTTCTACCCTAAACCCTAAACCCTAAAACCTAAACCCTAAACCCTAAACCCAAAGCCCTAAACCCACCTCTCCAGGACACTGATGTAAGACAACTGGGGCCACAGTCGTATGGTCATCACCCCAATTGTCGGCGTGTCGGAAAGCAATAGCCACTGACTGCCATTCAGCCTCGGAAGGCTGGAGATTGGTGGATCTATCGCCTGAACTTGGGATGTTCCACCTTACACTCACAGTCCCTCATAGGGATTTTAACAGGCGGTACTACAATCCCTATTAAGGGCTGGTAGTCTAATTGGGAACATCCCAACCCCTGAACCCTCAAGCCCCGATGGAGTTCTCCTGAGGGCTTGGGCCTTTCGGTCATTCGGAAGGCTGAGAGTCGAGCCAAGAACCTAAACCCTAAACCCTAAACCCTAAACCCTAAACCCTCTCTACCTATGTATATTTAAACCTTAATGGGGTCGTACTCCCGGTTTGGTCGTTTAGGATTTAGGATTTAGGATTTAGGATTTAGGATTTAGGATTTAGGATTTAGGATTTAGGATTTTAGGATTTAGGATTTAGGATTTAGGATTTAGGATTTAGGATTTAGGATTTAGGATTTAGGATTTAGGATTTAGGATTTAGGATTTAGGATTTAGGATTTAGGGTTCAGGGGCCTCTCTGGGGAGGCCCGGCTTCGTAATTTAGTATTCGGGCGAGGCCCGGCTTCGTAATTTAGTATTCCGAGGAGGCCCGGCTTTGTAATTTAGTATTCCGGGGAAGCCCGGCTTCGTAATTTAGTATTCCGGGGAGGCCCGGCTTCGTAATTTAGTATTCCGGGGAGGCCCGGCTTCGTAATTTAGTATTCCGGGGAAGCCCGGTTTCGTATTTTAGTATTCCGGGGAGGCCCGGTTCGTAATTTGGTATTCCAGGGAGGCCCGGCTTCGTAATTTAGTATTCCGGGGAGGCCCGGCTTCGTAATTTAGTATTCCGGGGAGGCCCGGCTTCGTAATTTAGTATTCGGGCGAGGCCCGGCTTCGTAATTTAGTATTCCGGGGAGGCCCGGCTTCGTAATTTAGTATTCCGGGGAGGCCCGGCTTCGTAATTTAGTATTCCGGTGAAACCCGGCTTCGTAATTTAGTATTCCGGGGAGGCCTGGCTTCGTAATTTAATATTCCGGGGAGGCCCGGGGACTTGCTTCCTCTTGGCTGGGAGGGGCCGTTTTGGTGAAAAAATCCAGAAAACGAGAGCCCACCTGGGACCGTCGATTTCAGTACTAAAAAATCACATTTTAAATAGGGACCCGGGCCGATCCTGGGGTCCCCCTCATTTGGGGTGTTTTTGGAGGCAAACTTTCCCTCTCAAGGGGGGGTCGGAGTTTGAGGCAAGGGGGGGGTCTCCGAAGACTATTTTGCCTTTAAGATTGAAAAATACCACCCCCCCTTGACCAAAACTAGGCTGTGAAAAGGTCGCGGGGGCGGCCCTTCATCAGCATTGAAGCTTAAAAACACTGAAAAACATTGAAAAACCTTAAAAAACATTGAAAAACTCTGAAAAACCTTGAAAAGCCTTGAAAAACTTGCAATCCTGAGGTGAAAGCTCCGTTTTGGTCAAAAAATCCAGAAAACGAGAGCCCACCCGGGACCGTCGATTTCAGTACTAAAAAATTGCATTTTTAATAGGGAGCCGGGCCGATCCTGGGGTCCCCCTTCATTTGGGGTGCTCAAGGCGGGTCGGAGTTTGAGGCAAGGGGGGGTCTCCGAAGATTATTTTGCCTTTAAAATTGAAAAATGCCACCCCCGATCCTGGGGTCCCCCTCATTTGGGGTGCAAACTTTCCCTCTCAAGGGGGGGTCGGAGTTTGAGGCAAGGGGGGGTCTTCAAAGACTATTTTGCCTTTAAAATTTAAAAATACCACCCCCCCTTGACCAAAATTAGGCTGTGAAAAGGTCGCGGGGGCGGCCCTTCATCAGAACTGAGGCTTAAAAACATTGAAAAACCTTAAAAAACACTGAAAAACTCTGAAAAACCTTGAAAAACTTGCAATCCTGAGGTGAAGGCTCCGTTTTGGTGAAAAAATCCAGGAGAGCCCACTCGGGACCGTCGATTTCAGTACTAAAAAATCACATTTTGAATAGGGACCCGGGCCGATCCTGGGGTCCCCCTCATTTGGGGTGTTTTTGGAGGCAAACTTTCCCTCTCAAGGGGGGTCGGAGTTTGAGGCAAGGGGGGGTCTCCGAAGACTATTTTGCCTTTAAAATTGAAAAATACTACCCCCCTTGACCAAAACTAGGCTGTGAAAAGGTCGCGGGGGGCGGCCCTTCATCAGAACTGAGGCTTAAAAACCCTGAAAAACATTGAAAAACCTTAAAAAACATTGAAAAACTCTGAAAAACCTTGAAAAACCTTGAAAAACCTTGAAAAATTGGAAATTTTTGAAACCGGTGAAGGCTCGGTTTTGGTCAAAAAATCCAGAAAACCGACGCGGCTGTGTATTATCCGTGTGCCGAATTGACTAGACGGTGCCGAATCGAGAAAGAATGTTGCGAGCTAAATGATCAACTAAAGTAAGAAAGAAGATATGTAATTCAGATGAAGAGGGATCTGGGAGGGAGGGGTGATGCCAAACACGTAGGGTGATGACAGAAACCCTTAGTGAATGCTTGGACCAGAGATGCTGAACCCTAAACCCTAAACCCTAAACCCTAAACCCCCGTTTAAAGGGGTATATACTCGCTGCGCACGGCACCCAAACCCGAGGCCCTGAACCCTAAAGCCCCAAAACCCGAAAACCGAAAACCCCAAAGCCCCAAAACCCTAAAACCCTGGACTCTGAACCCCATGCGCCTCTGATGCATGGCGCCTTTGCCGGGCAGAAATGCTTGGAACAGCTCCTCAACACGCTGCCGGAAGTCCTCACAAGAGCTGCTTGTGGTTATAGGGTGCTTGAGGGAGGTTTAGGGTTTAGGGTTTAGAGTTTAGTGTTCAGGGTTTAGGGTTTAGGGTTATAGGGTTCTTAAGGGAGGGGGTATAGGGTTTAGGGTTTGGGGTTTAGGGTGTAGGGTGTAGGGTGTAGGGTTCAAGGGGGTGTGTAACCCAAGGTTCCCTAATACTCCCACCTACTCCTAAGGCTCCCCAAGATTCCCCAGCCACTCTATTCATCTAGCAAAACCTGCACATCACTGTTTTGACACAATTGAAATATGAGACCCTCAAGTTTCCCAGTTTTTCACAAACACTGAAACCCAAACCCCCAACCCTAAACCCCCCAACTTGGGATATTCCCCCTATAATGACAGTCCTTGATAGCCTAGTACAATCCCTGTTAAGGACTGTAAGTATAAGGAGGAGCATGCCAAACCCCCAACCCTGAACCCCCAACCCAAAATTCCAAGCCCCAAACCCTAAACCCCAAACCCTAAACCCCAAACCCTAAACCCCAAACCCTAAACCCCAAACCCTAAACCCTAAACCCCAAACCCTAAACCCCAAACCCAAAACCCCAAACCCTAAACCCTAAACCCCATAGCCCCGCACTGCCAAGAGGCCTGCAAAGGTCGCCGCACCACCTTCACGGCCACGCCTTCTGCTCTGTCCAGGTTCTCCTGGGGGTTTAGGGTTTAGGGTTTAGGGTTTAGGGTTTAGGGTTTAGGGTTTAGGGTTTAGGGGTTTAGGGTTCCGGGCTTCCAAAACCTGGGCCCTTCGTGGATTTTCGGTGCGCGCCACGTCTCCCCCACTGAACGGCAGAAGGGAGAATCGAAGCTCTCACCCATGAACTTCTGAAAGGTCAGGATTCCGGCCAGCTCGAACCACAGAATCGCTTGAAACACCTTGGGGGGGTTTAGGGTTTAGGGTTTAGGGTTTGGGGTTTAGGGTTTAGGGTTTAGGGTTTAGGGTTTAGGTTTAGGGTTTAGGGTTCAACCCCCACCTCCTCGAAGCAGAAGTCGTGGTAGATGATGGTCTCAACGCAGCACGGAAGGTCGCGCAGGACATGAAACGTCTCGCGCACGACACTCTCGAATTTATGCTGGGCGTCGATTACCGCCACCGAGAAGTTCTGGTCTGCAAGAGTAGAGAAAGCATATGGCAGGCCTGTGTCCATGTGAAGCCGTACGATGTTGTTGATTCTGGTTCCATCCCTCTTCAACAACCTGCCGGATTCTAAGTGACAGCAGCCCAACTCGTCAGACAGATCCCAATACTTGTCGATGGCCACAACCACTGCGAAATTCACAGCCAATGCAGCGGTTGTTTCCCCGCGTCCCGCACCAATGTCCAAGGCGGCTCTGGAAGCATACCTTTTGGAACGAAAGAGGTCGATGATGTCCTGCTTGAACTTGACCTGATCTTTACAAGATTCTTGTTAGAGCCTGATTCAGGGCCCCAGCCCCCATACTAACAACCCCTAAACCCCAAACCTTGGCACGCCGGAAGAAAAGCTGAGACTCAGTGCCTTACACCAAAAGGCGGAAGTTTGACTAAGTCTTAAACCCTAAACCCTAAACCCTAAACCCTAAACCCTAAACGCCCGAAACCCTAAACGCATGAAACCCTTCTGTCCGCGTGGCGGTTGTGAGGCCTCTTTCTAAAGTTTCCCTGGCCAACTCTGCGCTCAGGCATTGGCCGCAGATCCAAAGACCGAGAAAACCGCTTCGCCAGGCCCGGCATCCCCGCATGCTACTTGGACTTACGTTTTAGGGTTTAGGGTTTAGGGTTTAGGGGTTAGGGGTCTAGGGGTCTGTTTCGGGTTCTAGTGGTCTAGGGTTGAGGGTTTAGGGTTAAGGGTTCAAGGTTCAGGGTTAAGGGTTTAGGGTTTGGAGTTTAGGGTTTAGGGTTTAGGGTTTAGGGTTTTCAAAACCTAACCTAAACCCTAAACCCAAGGCAGTCTCAAGGTTCAGGTTTCGGAAGCCTTGTTAAGCACCAAAGCTTTAGGGTTTAGGGTTTAGGGTTTGGGGTTTGGGGTTTGGGGTTTGGGGTTTGGGGTTTAGGGTTTAGGGTTTGGGGTTTGGGGTCCAGGGCTTAGGGCTTCAGGAGCATAATGTTCAAATGCCGAGTGTTTCCCATCGTCCACCTCACCATGCAGAGATGTCTGACACAGTGCAAGACAAGCTGATTCCCGCCGGGAGCAATGAAAGCCACAAACTTTGGAGGCTTGGGTTTAGGGGTTAGAGCTTAGGGTTTCGGGTTTAGGGTTTAGGGTTTAGGGTTTAGGGTTTAGGGTTTGGGTTTAGGGTTTAGGGTTTAGGGTTTGGGGTTTAGGGTGACAAAAGGGGGGCAGCTCCCCGACCTTACTTTTAAGGGTTTAGGGTTTAGGGTTTAGGGTTTAGGCTTGGAGGTTCAGGGCACTTATAACCCCAGTTCTAGCTGCACTTCTAAGCCCCCTACGTCCCCTAAAGTGGGGGCTACCAAAATAGGGGAGCCCTAATATGGACCCCCGAAGGATTCCCTTATATTACGTACTCTCATTCAAGTAGGTTATAAGCAGAATTAAGTGGGCCTAAACCCTAAACCCTAAACCCTAAACCCTAAACCCTAAACCCTAAACCCTAAACCCTACCCATGAACCTCCAAGTAGACCACCTTGCCCATCGATCCCTTCGGAACATCTCGTGCGTTGCTCGGGCGTACGGTTTCCAACGGTCTGAGCATGTTCCTAGGGCCTAAACCCTAAAGGCCCTAAACCCTAAACCCTACATGAACTGCGAAGTTTACTTGCGAAAAGGCCGGGGGATTTTAGGGTGTTCTACTGATGTTCGGCGTCATGTTGCGGGGCCCTTTAAGACGAAAAAGCAAAGACTGGGCTACCTCAGCTGTGTTGTCTAGGCTGGGAGTCTGTGAGGGTCTGCGTATATAGCAAACTGATGTTGGTTGATGTTCAAGCCGATCTAGATTGAGGGAGGGAGAGGGTTCCCAAACAAAAACTGGAGCACATCAAAACTGGCTCAACAAAGTTGGTTCGAACATGTGTTGCATTGCAAAATGGACAAATCTTAGCAGAGCTTATAACTGCTGTTTTGAGTCAGTAGCTACCATGGACATCTATGTAGTACATCCTATTTGCAGTTTCCCAGCCCAGCCTGCTGAGTGCAGGCGCCGGGGTAACATGCCTTTGGGTTTCGTTGCCAACACAGTGCAGGGTTTGTGACTTAATGCTGAGGTTGACCTTCTTACATCAATGACACTTTGAGAATGTGCATGCGCGGCTTTACTTGTTTAGGTAGGGCTTGCGTCCCTGCGTGGTTGAGGTGCCGTTCGGAAAGGCAGTTTCGGATGTGAAACTGGGGATATGCTGTGTTAACAGTGACTTGCTTGCCTGGAGCCTCCCAAAAAAAGGGGTAAAGCATTGCCTGCCTTCAAGATGTGAAAAGACCAAGCTACAGAACTCAGGTAAAGACATGAACAGAGAGGCTATTTGGCAACGATTTCTCATACCTTATGTTTGCTTGCCTTGCTTGAGTCGCGGCAGTTGCCTGTTGTTGCTGTGCGGGTCTTGAAACGCCAGTAGATCACGAGAAGGCCAGGGTGGATCACCAGCGAAGGCGTGCATGGAACGCCAAGTAGACTAGCGAACCAAGGTAGATCACTAGAAGCCCATCTTAAGCAGCCAAACACCCAAGTGGACCGCAGGCTCGTCTACCTCAAGATGAGACACATGGTATATCAAGGTCTAACTTCAACCAGCTTGTTTCGAAATCTTATTGGGGGACCCCTAAATAAAGCCCGATCTTTTGGCAAAACTTCCAAGGGGCCTTGCCATGAATGCACTCCTTGTAGCTCATTGGCTTACAAGAGAAGGGCGGAACTGGAAACCAGGAGCACGGTCAGTACATTAAAGGCTCCGGGCGAGTGCAACATGCCGATGGCCAAGGGGGAGGTGATCCTCGCAAAGCTCGAGATGGATGCCTCGAGCACCAGAAACCGGCCGCAGCGAGCCTCAGGGGCTGCAACTACCACCACGCCCGGCAGTGATGCAAAGGCCAAGGCGAGGCCAAAGGCGTAGAGAACCAACGCCGGAGCTATCAAGGCAGGATTCGCACCCAGCACGGCGAGAGCAGTGGCCTCGAGGGTTGAGGGTTTAGGGTTTAGGGTTTAGGGCTTAGGGTTTAGGGTGGGTTTAGGGTTTAGGGTTTAGGGTTTAGGGTTTAGGGTTTAGGGTTTAGGGTTTAGGGTTTAGGGTTTAGGGTTTAGGGTTTAGGGTTTAGGGTTTAGGGTTTAGGGTTTAGGGTTTAGGGTTTAGGGTTTAGGGTTTAGGGTTTAGGGTTTAGGGTTTAGGGTTTAGGGTTTAGGGTTTAGGGTTTAGGGTTTAGGGTTTAGGGTTTAGGGTTTAGGGTTTAGGGTTTAGGGTTTAGGGTTTAGGGTTTAGGGTTTAGGGTTTAGGGTTTAGGGTTTAGGGTTTAGGGTTTAGGGTTTAGGGTTTAGGGTTTAGGGTTTAGGGTTTAGGGTTTAGGGCAGTGGCCTTCGACAGGATGCCTATCGCGCAGGTCAGGTCGGCTCCGCAGGCTTTCTGCAGGGGCTGCACCAGCACCACTTGGCACAAGAAGATGAACGTCGAAAGCAGCGACAGGGCTCCACCCAGCATCGAGGCAGAGAAGGCAAACTGCCGAAGCAGCATGAACCTGGCTCATGGTTTAGGGTTGAGGGTTTAGGGTTTAGGGTTTAGGGTTTAGGGTTTAGGGTTTAGGGTTTAGGGTTTAGGGTTTGGGGTTTGGGGTTTAGGGTTTAGGGTTTAGGGTTTAGGGTTTAGGGTTTAGGGTTTAGGGTTTAGGGTTTAAGTACCCTTAAGAATCTAAAATGGTACCCAACTATGACAAAGGAACGGTATGAAAAGGTTCAGCAAGAACCTGACCGAGGAGAGTACCAACGAGACTCCCATGGTCCGCCATGCTTTCCAGCAAATAGCACGCTGGCTTGCGTCTGGGGCTCGGTGTTCCTCTCTTTGCTTCTGCTGTCTTGCTGGAAGCCGTTGCTCACGGAAGGCCCAAAGGCTTGCCACAGCGCCTCCCGCGCACAGCAAGGCCATGAAGTAGAAGGGAGCGTTCAGGCCAAACCAGTCGGCAACCACACCCCCTAGTAAGGGCCCAAGCGTGAAGGCAACTTGCGCAGCAGCTTCTCCGTATGCCAAACTCGTGGAAAGCCGATCTTTGTCAGGGAGGGTTCTGGCCAAGAAAGATCTCAGAACTGGAACAATGCCACAACCGAAGCCGGCAATGCTGCGGGCGAGCAAAATCCAGCGGAGCCGCATGCTGTGTTGAAGTGCATATCCTAGGTAAAACCATGCGGCCGCGGAGATCGCCAAGCTTCCCAGCAACACTTGGACGATCCCAACTCGGGAACTGTAGATCGGCAAAGCCGCGTTTCCCACGAGCTGTCCCAGAAAGAAGCACGACGTGAAGGTACCGACATCCACACCTTGCTTCGCCAGAGCAGGGCCCAGAGGCAAACCCATAGTGAAGCCGAGGAAGCTGAGGCAGTAGAGATAGTAGATTGCTGGTGGCACTGATGACTGGGGCGCTTGTTTCGGCGCGCTTGCGTCGCGTTGCGGGGACGCGGAGCAGACCGCGGCAACCCGCCCACCGCCCTTTCTCGCCGATCCGATCAGCACCCCACCAATCCTAAGTTCATGTGGACTAACACACAACCCTAAACCCTAAACCCTAAAGTTCCTAAAGATCAGGAACTCGGTCTGCAGGTGCTAAACAAAAACTTTTAAGAGGAACTCCTTCTGAGGACCTGGCATTGCCGTCATCACCGCCCTTGGCTCAAGCTTGTGAAGCTTGCGGCTTCCCCACAAGTCGCGTGTAGGGCAGCCCATCGAGCACATACCAGAGCAGCCAGCATGGGCGGTGAACGGCAAGAGCCGGCCACATGGCCACATCACCCCGGCTGCGAGTCTGCTTGGGGCTTTGAGCAAGTGCCTTCAAGCTGCAGTGGAAAGGCAAACACGGGATTACGAAACTTCCAAGTCCTGAGCTCTCCAGAACCATTCAACCTGAGCTTAGGGGGGGTTCTTCAGGGCTGGGGGTTTCACTCTAACATTCTTCCACACTAAGTCATGGTTTAGGGCTTGAGGTTTGAGTATGTAGGATAACTTCGGCATCCCCAACGCAGTCCCGACAGCAACACTGAAACTACAAAACTGGACCTGACCAACCTCTGCCACTGCCGGTCCTAGCCTAGATATGTAGCTTCTAAGAGGCCAAAATCCTGGTGCTGGTATCCCTAAACCCTGCAACCCTCGTCACAGTCGAGCCCAAAACATCCTCGTAGCCGAAACCCCAAGCCCCAAAAGCCCCACTCAAACCAGGGCCCTCAAACAAATTCCGGGAGTTCAGGGTTAGGGTTTAGGGTATAGGGTATAGGGTTTAGGGTTTAGGGTTTAGGGTTTAGGGTTTAGGGTTTAGGGTTTAGGGTTTAGGGTTTAGGGTTAGGGTTTAGGATTTAGGGTTTAGGGTTTAGGGTTTAGGGTTTAGGGTTTAGGGTTTAGGGGGCATACAGGGACTCTAGCCACCCCTTGAGGCCCTTCACGGCCCTCCTAAACCCACGTCTCACATTTCACGCCCCCGCTTAAGCGCTGCATCTTGCGGACCTTGCAAGTGCTCATCCCTTCCTTCCGGCACGCGGAAGGCGCGGAATGCAATGTGTGAAACGCCTCTCGGGTCTGGCCGGTCTGGGCTTCAAACGAACAAAGCAACCCAAAGGCTGCAACAACAAACCCTGGACCCCAAACCCCAAACCCCTAAACCCTAAACCCTAAACCCCAAACCCCAAACCCAGCTCCCCTCTTGTGCAGTGGGCAGCTCAAGCTCCGCCGCAGAACACCTCAGAGGGCGTACGCGCTGCAGAAGGGCTTAGGGTACAACAACATGCATCGTGCACAACGATTTTCCGCGGTGCATCAAGTCACTTCAAGCGAGCAACGAGTACAATTAAGACAGCTATCCAGAGCCTCCAAGCTCTAAAGTGGAACAAAAGTTCCATGAAAACCGTAAGGTACACGCTGAGGCATTGCGATCCGAGCGCAAGGAGGACCGCAGAAGTTTCTAGCGTCGATAATCCTGAGCTCTGAGCCCGCACCCTCCTCATGTGTGAAGACCAACACCCATCCGTCATCCTCTTCAGTGGCTCCCGGACGAGGCACAAAGATTCCCTCCTGACCACTGATGCCTTCTCCGTACACGTGATCCTCGAAGGAAGGAGGACCCTGAGAATCTGATGGCATCGTATACTTTCGCAAGGCTCCGGCGACTCCAGTGCCTGCCTTGCAGCTGAGTTCTTTGCTGAAGACACAGGTGTATCCGTAGTCATGTGGCTTGCCGACGACCTTGGGGCTCACTGTCGGGAAATCAATGAAATCTGGCGGCCCGAGGTCTCGTTCAGAAGAGCTTCCGGTGACCATGTTCATCCTCCACTCATGTAGGCGGATGCTCTTGGGTGATCCCGGCTCCTATACTCCCCTTAGACCTTAATAAAAGTATCTTTGCTTAAATCCTCTTGGGTTTTCATATGAACAAAAATGGAAAATACATCTCAAGGGGGATATAGGCTCGAAGTACTGCTCCATGAAAGCTCGCCGGTCCACCTTCCCATCTTCCCAGGGAGGTGTCAGCACCATGGTGTCTGCCCTGCAACCGCGGAGCACCACTTCCTCTCCATCCTCAAAGGCGTTCAGCATGTGGAAGCCGTAGCCTGGAGAAAACTCGAACCATCTCTCCACGTCTTCGCCATACCGAGGCATGACACCGATTCGGCTTGGGGACTCCTCGAAGCCAATCATCTGCCCCCCAGAGAATAACCTGGAGACGTCAATTGTGAGGGGGAAGTCTAAGATAAGGGTAAATCGTTCAGTGATGGCGCAGTCGTGCATCAGGGTCTTCCTCGTGGCGCTCTTCACAGTCGTCCAGTGCTTGAGATTGCCATCTGGGCCTACGACGCCCGCGTGCACGGGAGGCTCGCTGAAGCTAGAGTAGGCAGTGAAGACCATGTCCCCGGTGGTGGGATCAATCTTCGGATGAGCTGTGAAAGATGGCAGGACCTTCTCTTGACCGAACTTGAAGTGACCCTTGAAATCCAGCTCCTCAAGGCCCACTTCCACTGGCATCACCTCACCTTCCACCAAGGCCAAAAGTCGACCTCCGTGGAAAAGGACGGAGGTGTTCGCTACGTCCTTGACGGCCGTACCGAAAGACATCATATTCATGATTGGGTTCAAGAAGGATGAGAGGGAAGTGGTGTCAACGATACCTCGATACAGGCACTCTCCAGACGTCTCCTCTCGATCAAAGTCAGGGGTCCGGATGTAGCGGTTACGATACGAGCACTGGCCATTTTGGAAGCGCACTGCGTGCAACATGCCGTCCCCTTCGAACCAATGGTGCACCGTGCGCCCAAACAACGGCGCTTCCACGCAGTCAGGCTTGAATCGAGGATTGGGACCATTTCCTGGGTTCTCGCTTTAATAAGGAAGTTGAAATCCAAATGCCATACTGTGGTCGTGTAGTGTAGACATGGGCCTTCCTTACCATGGCTTAACATATATGTCAGTGCCGTAACAAGGCCCGAGTTTCGCACAAACATTCCACTCGGAAAGTCCTCCGGGATGCGGCCCTCAACGACTTGCAGGTTTTCCTCAGAGACCTCCTCGGTGACTGGGGCAAAATTCCCGTCCAAGAAGACGTTCTGCAGTTCACGACCAGCGCTCTGCTCAAACGTCCTCACACCCTGCAGCAGCGGTGAGGCTGCGAGACGTACGCGGGACCGTGCCTGGCGCGATGCCACGGAGGCCAGCACAGCCAGAGCGAACTTCTGACCATGCCTTGGGAGCTTTGGCAGACCTCCTTCTCTGTTTGCACGAGCATGCCCTGGTAGCACCGGGATGGTGCTAGGTGCCGGATGGGGCAGCACCACCGCAGCCATGGTTTCTTGTGCTGGCTGAATCCTGTGCTCGTGCGCCCTCTGCTTATATAAAACACAAGCTTGCAACTGCCTTTCACTAGTCACGACATAGAGTCTACATCTTGGCAGACTGCTGTGTGGTTGCACTCCAACTCACAGGTTGCTGTGCTCTGAAAGCAGACATAGACATCTGGGATGACACCAATGGAACTAGTCCGCTGCATGCTTCTGATGTGCTTACCACTTCGCTTTCGTTCCGATCGAGCTGCAAGACGGTGCTGAACCCTGAACGAAACCCGTTTGCAACAGGCTTCTGAGGTCCGCGCCCAGAAACCCTGAACCCTACACCCTAAACCCTACATGAACCCTACACCTGCAGTGCGGATTAAAACGACCCCTAACCCTAAACCCTGCCTGCACTTGAAGACGAAGAGAAGGGCAGCGAGAACACCTGGTCGCAGGAGGGGACCCGGGGTTTCCGGGAGAGGGAGGAGAGGGGCACACACACTTTAGCGTACGAGGGGGGTGGGAGCGTGAGCACTCTAAAGTTACGGGCGGTGGTGGAGGAGGAGGAGGAGAAGGACAGCGCAAGGACAGCGCAAGGCACTCCTGCAACATGCACTCCTACCCACCTAAACCCAACTGAAGGCCCTAAACCCTGCCTGTGCTTGAAGACGAAGAAAAAGGACCAAAGCTGGTTGGTCGCAGGAGGGGGACCTGGAAGTCCCAGGAGAAGGGGAGGCGGGCGCAGCGCACGTTATAGCTTACAAACCCTAAACCCTAAACCCTGAATCCTAAACCCTAAACCCTAAGGGCACTCCTGACTCCTGCGACCAAACCTGGCTGCCTCGGAGCCCACATGCCTGCCAACCAAACCCGACCCTGAAGCCTTGCCGTCCAGACATCGCTGCCTCAGAACCCCTTGCCTTCCCCCCCCCAGAACCCTAAACCCTAAACCTCTGTGGCTCCCGGCGTTCGGTCACTACCTCCCTTGCGTCCAGGGCTGCGTGTGCTTGTTGCTTTCCTTACTTACAATAGTCTGAGGGGCCCTCTTCGGAATCAAAGCCTTGTTTCTCCGTGGCCTTGCTGTCCTGTCATGGATGCCGAAACTCGCGATGCTGCCTGTCCTCTCAAGCAAAAAACAACGCAAGCATGAACTCGATAAAAATCATGCCAAAAACTTGCAAAAAGCAAGCAAAATCCATGCACAAATCATGCAAACGTGCCAAAAACGTGGCACAAAAACCGTCATGCCAAAATCACCAAAACAACCCTACGTCCCGACGTCTCCACGTCTCTATACGTCTCTATGCGTCCCTATACGTCCCTATACGTCCCTACGTCCCTGCGTCCCACGTGAACCTAGGCGGATGCAGCACGAAAGGAGTCTCTCTTTTGCTGGTAACTCAACGTCCAGTGCGTGTACGTGGCCAGCACTCGCACGACATGTCTCCTCCAGTACTGGCGCAACGGCCTCTACACCCACAGAGCGCGTGTAGTGCAGCCCATCGAGCACATACCAGAGCAGCCACCATGGGCGGTGAACGGCAAGAGCCGGCCACATGGCCACATCACCGCGGCTGCGAGTCTGCTTGGGGCTTTGAGCAAGTGCCTTCAAGCTGCAAGGAGAAGGTTCAGGCAAACCCCAACAATGAGGGATGGGGTGAACTGGAACCCCACCACATTTCGCCCTGCTCCACGCCAACCGCACGTCGTACCCCAATGAGTTTGCAAGACGGAGTGCCCTTGCAGGGGCTTCCGTTCAAGCAAGACTTTTCAAAGACAACATGTGCGCAGCTACGGGTTGACTGCGCCATTTGGGTCACAAATCGGAAAAACATGACCATCTTGAAAAGCAGGGCAGTGTAGATTGGGAATACCGAGCTCATGCGGTTTAGGGCTTCGGGTTTATGGTTGGGCTTAGGTTTTAAGGACATCAACCAAGTTGACTGAAAAGGTTCAGGGAAAGGGGTGGGGGGACTTTATTCCCAAAAACATGAAGCACACACCAACGGACGAAAACTCCCGAAAGACATTACCTCGAACGGCCTGGACCCCTCGGCCCCAAAGCCTGTGTCAAATGGGAAAAAACGGCAATTTGATGCGCGCGAGGAGGACGACGGCAACGAAGAATAACGTGGCAACGTCGAAACCATCAGTTAGACTCGACGAGGCCCAAAAAACACAAAGCAACGAGATGGTATGGACAACCCTGCATCACAAAACTCCCATCGGCGGATGCTTAGATTGTTGTTTTGCGTGCGAGCCCAATTTACAGCGTCAACTGCCCAGTGAGCAAATCTACTACTGCCAGAATAAAAGAACCTGCACAAACCAGTGAGCGTAAAGGAAGTCGTGTCTACAACAGGCAACCGCTCGCGCAGAGGCCCTTATTGCAAGACAACTTAACACAAAACCAGCAAAGTGAAAGTGCGTACAGGCGCACAGGCTGATGCGTAAAAGTACTGGACTGGAGAGAGATCCTTTTACAGACTTCCTTGAAGAACATACCCTACTATCTCTAAGCCACTCATAGATCTTCAATACCGGGCTACGATGGGCTAGCGTGGCACCTGACCCCTGCCTCAACCTCTAAGGCTGCGTTTCTGTGGAGGGCACATGAAGGCTCGCCGGAAAAGATGGCAATAGAGGATGCGAAGGGAAAGTCTGTGCAAGTATCTTGAATGTGCATTACGGATTGCGACAGGCAGCTCTTCGAAAACGACTCCGACCAGATCAGCCAGAACTTCGACACCCAGACATAGAGACGGTCAACACCGCACCTCTTACAAGAACGTCGACGCATGCCATCGAGAAGGTGCAGATCCAGAACACCAAGACGAACCTGCCCCAACCACACGTTTGTGGCTTGTCATGGCCTCAAGTTTGTCACCCTAAATCCTAAACCCTAAACACCAAACCCGAAACACTAAACCCTAAACCCTAAACCCTAACTTCATATTTGCTGTGGCCCAGTTGTGGCGCGATGTGGCTTGACGTGGCCTCAAGTCGCACACAGCAGATAAAGCGACATAAGGTCAGACAAGGAGCAATCGAAGTTTGATCTAGGGTTTAGGGTTTAGGATTTAGGGTTTAGGGTTTAGGATTTAGGGTTTAGAAGTTGCTTTTTGTTTCAAGTTCTCAAGAACGCACTACCTGCTCTTAGGCAGATTGCGCCTCCCCCAGCCCAGGTAACAGCCCTGGACGAAAGCGCAGCCTCATTTGGCCGCACTGCTTGGAGGTAGGTTCAGGGTTTACGGTTTTCTAGAGTTGTGCATCTTGGTCTTCAGGCAATCACAAAGGCAACCGCAGAAACACCCCACGCCAACACTGCTAGCAAGTGCCAAGAGCAAGTCTGCGGTTGCATACACCCCAGAGACCATGCGCTGAAGATTGGATTCGGGCTGGAGACTGCAGTTTGGGAGAGCACATACACGGTCCACTCGTGTCTGAGTTGATCTTCCGCTAAAGTACAAAGGGGTGGAATTGCTGGTCTGTGGTGGGGATAAAGGCTTGGCATTTGCATGCCCTGAGCCTGCCTGGCCAGCAGCACAGCAAAACCTCACGGCAAGGACCCCAACCCGTCGTCTCCAGCCGCGCACTTCCTTGAATTTCAGTAAAATGAAAACCTGTAACCAAACTGGAATCCCTAAACCCCAAACCCTAAACCAAGAATGATACTGCTGTACTTTTTTGGGGACTCATCAGGACGGGAGCTGGACGACTCCCACCTTCGCAGATGCACGACTAGAGGGCTCTGGCAATACCGTTCCCTTCTGACTTGACAGATGAAAGCCACACCAGCACCTGAACTCATATCTTCCAGGGCCGACCACCTTGTTTCTGCAAGCACATCTGCCCCGACCTACATTCTACGGAAAGCCCAAAGACAGTGTCAATCCTACGTCAACGACACACCCTAAGTCCGAAAAGCCCTTTCTTGAGGAGGTACAGAATCTATCAGAATCTGAGATGCCCGGGCTCCTCTCGGTCAGCCGTTGCTTGAGCTGCTCGTGCAACTCCTTTCGGGGGTTCAATATAGCTCTTGGAGCTTCGGGTTTAGGGTTTAGGGTTTAGGGTTTAGGGTTTAGGGTTTAGGGTTTAGGGTTTAGGGTTTAGGGTTTAGGGTTTAAGTTGGTGAACGGGCACAAGGACGCTGCACGCTCCAGCATGGGTCCGAAAGGCAGCAGGGGACAACAGTCAACACGATCTACAAAGCAGCCAGTGCAATGATGCTGCGGACAAGGGATCAACATTCTGCGAGGTCGAGGATGACTTTACCTTTTAGGCCGACCGGCGTCGCTCATGATGCAGAGCACGTCACGTCATACTGGTGTTACAGTGTTCAGCTCTGTGATACGTCGCCAGACTTCCAAAACTAAAATCTGTACTCGGGAAGTCCGGTGAGGAGCGGCCCGCTCAAGCACTGCTAGCTGCTCTGTCTTGCTTTACAAGTCATCATCGGTGTGCTCAGAGTCATTCACATCCCGAGCCAAAGCTCTGTCTTCTGCGCCCTCATCACCATCGTAATCACCATGATCCTCCACTTTAACACCATCCATCCGGCGTTTCAAGCCACACTGCTCCTCAAAGCGCATCTCCGAAGCCCTAGGTGCACACTCTTCGCCAGCATGGAACTGGAACTGGTGCTTCAGCAGCTGGCCCTTTAAGATTCGGCGCTCGAGTCGTCGGTCGGAAGCACGTGACACGTCCCAGTCGCCTGGAAGCCTCTTTTGGCAGCTTAGCCGCTTTTGATTGCCTCGAAGTCCGGCTCTGCCGAAAAGCTGGCCGTTGGCCTGGTGGAGCCAAAATCCCCGAAGCATCCGGTATTCGAAAACCTTCTTCTTCTCATGATTCCTGACCTTACGGTGATTGACAACCGTCATGATCTGTTTATTGCACCGGCGGCAAGTAACCGTCCACCGGTGCCTCACCTGCGTGTCCCAGGCTCTGTCGGGGACCGCTGCCTGCGGCTTGCACCTCTTTTCGGGCTTCTGCCGCGCCACCGGCGCGGGGGGACGGTACTCACCTGCGGCCTGAGTTGTGGAACGCTGGGGCGGCTTGGAGGTGCGCCGGCGCGCCGGCGCTGGCTCTCGCTCCGCTGGCTCTTCGCGCACTTCTGCCATATCCTCGCTGTGCTCGCCGTCGGTGTCGTTCTCCACATCTGAGTCACCGAAACCGAGTTAACCAAATCTAGCCGCTGCCCCTGCAGTAAGTTGACTCTCCTCGGGTTCCAGAGACACCTCCTCTGGCTCCGGGTCCAGTGGCTCCGGGTCCAGTGGGTCTTGGGGCACAAGCTGCAGGGCCTGCAAGGGCTGTGGCGGGGACGGAGGAGGCCGTGGCCTTCCACCTCCAGGCACCGTGATGTGCAAGTACCTGCACTCTGGATTGTGTGGGCACGTTCGCTGACTCTGCCAATGCTCGCAAACATCGGCATGAACGAAGTCGCACCTGCCTGTTTCATCTTCCATGCATCTGCCAGTCAAAGCATAGTTGCGACAGTAGCTGACATGGTCGAATCTGCACCGCGCCCCGCGAATGCACTCCCCGCTCGCTCTGTGCATGTACTGGCGACAGAACCTGTTGAGATCGATCCTCCTGCGCCGACTGTGCCTCGCATCCGCCACCATTGCTGCAAAAACAGCAGCGGACACTCGGACTGGGCTCTGGACCCGACTAAGCTGCAGCCGTCCGCGAGTCCGGCGTTGTGGTAAACTGTGGTAAACTGCTCCCAACTACAATAATTGCTTCGACGACTCGTGTCAAATTGGACTATAAGCGTTCAACGGCTCGCATTTGCACTGTGTGTGTGGGGGTGTTTTGTCAACAACACTGTGACCTACACTCTTTGCCACTTGCATTGAGGACAGTTCTTGTGCGGGGGGGTCTCCAAACTCACGAAAGCTCATCAGCACGCTAGACTGACCTGCGGGCTGCAAGGCGAATGCATCGGCTTCTTTTTGCATTCATACAGCAAGACGTCGGACAACCCATGAAGTTGGACCGGCGCCCCTTTGTCGCACAATACGTAGTTTCTCAGAATGCCCCACGTTGCCAAGCAGCCTCAAAATCCCCGCTTCAATCTTCCCGAAAGCCCTGTTCACAGAATCGGGTCCTCCACAGTGCCGGTTTCCGTCTTGTAGTCGGAGGGCTTTTTCCAGTGCCTCGGACATTATAAAGGCTGTATAGGTTACAGTTATGAAGTATCGTGGCGGGCACTGTATCGTGGAGTTACATGCTCGGTTGTCTTGGTCTGCTCACCGTAGCACTGTAAGGGATGCAGTAGAAGATTTTGTTTGAGGGGGTGCCGCGCTCCAAAGAGCTTGTTCGCGGCACACCGTAAGACTGAACTACCCCGCACGTAGACGTTCGCCACGGCTGTCCCTGTTCATCATTCATACTGCATGCCTTTACCGAAAACGAGACCAGCCGGTCTGCAGCATACGTCATCCCGTTCCTTCTCAAACCGTTCGAGAGCAAGTTCCTTCGCGGCCACGTGATGGGGCAGAATTCTGGTAGCTTCTGTCTGATGATAGCAGTGTGGTCAGAATTCATGTGCATGGTTTGCATTACGCAAGAAATCGAGGTGTTGGATGCCCGGCGGAGACCATATAGAAGTCTTAAGCAGAAAACACCTGCTGGAAGGTGCAGCCCTTGGTGGGGTTTCAGTCATTTCAAGAACAGCAACTCGTCCTAAAACGCAGTCAGGTCCGACTGCTTGCAAGGCCTGGAACGCAAGTAAACCTGCCGCAGTAGCTAGCCAAATTTAAGGTTCAGGGTTTAGGGTTTGCCAGAGTGCTTGGAAGGACCTTCCTGTAACAAGCTCTCTGGTCCGGTGAAACATGAATGGAAGTCCGAAACGGTTTGCTAGACTCCCTCTGATGACATTCCGTTTCTCTTTGCGGTACGAATGTCGTTTGCTCCGGAGGCATGATGGTGGAACTGCATGGAGCCAGGCACAAGCTCCAACTTGTTGAATGTTTGGACCGCTATACCATGATGTACTATAGTTGAATAAACTATAGTATACTATGTAGTTTATTGTAATGCTTCCTCTCTGAGCCACTTGCAAGAGCCTCCTGGAAGCGATGGCTCATTCCACGTCCGGCCTCCCGATGCTGAACGCCGCTCTCCTATACTATACGACACTGTATTATAGTAGCAGGACATCATAACGTGTGTATACCACACACATATATATATACATATATATTTATATATTTATATACATATAAGTACAAGTTGTAGTAGTATACTATCGCAGAGAGTATGATTATGTTCCGTCCATATCAATGTGCACGCATTGTTCTTTAGGATTCTCTGATCACCCGTGCCGATTGGTACAGAGTTGTCTCGCTGTGTACCAGCAAAAGCAGAGAAGCACATTGCGCGGAATATAGTTGTGCTTCTCAGACCTATATAATGGGGAACCTTATTCCGGTACATTTTAAGGCTGCCCTCCCCATCTTCGTTCTTTGCGTCGTTTTGACCCCTGCATTCCAGTGCAAGCTGGCCCGATCCAACAGCACCTGCATCCACAAGGCTCGAAGGGCACCCAACTCATAAACGAAACCCGAAAGCAATGAAGTCAACGAGCCTCCAGCTGCTTCACCTGATTCGCGTCTCGGTTCAGTCAGTCTCTGGTACTCCCATGTCGTTCTCTCTTCCCTTGCATCAAGGTTATCAACGATTCCGCCAGCCCAAGACAGGGTAGAAACACCCATGAGCTCCCTTGGCTTATCCTCCTCGCATCTTCCCACTTCTGCTTCCTGTCTTCCGCCGTCATCGATATGCCTTCCATTCCAGGAATCTTCAGGATCTCACACACTTTTGACAAAAATTGGTTCCGCCCGGTACCCGGCAGGCATATATGCCGCCGGGTACCCGGCAGCCTGCCGGGTACCCAGCAAGGTTGTTGAAAAACAAGTAACGAGGGGTGGTGGGATTTCACATACTTCTGACAGAGAGTGGTTCCGCCCAAGCCCTGAACAAGGACAATGAGAACGGCAACGACAGCAGCGACGACAGCCCTATGACACAATGAAAGCGCGAGTGCAAGTCTGCCAAGTTTTGGCAAGAGCAACAGAATCCCACCAGCAACACGAAGTATCGAAAACAAGACGAGCCCCTCATTGCAGGCCCCAACTACCCCAGCGATGACGATACAGATAATGATAACGACAACAATAACAATGATAGTAACAATGCGAGTACTAGCTGTCAAAGCGGCACGGGCAACAGCAAAAGAACAATATGACAATGTTCGCAATACTCGCTGCCAGCACTACCGCCGGGTACCCGGCAGGCTTTGATAGAAATGATGAAGATCCAGTGGAGAAAGAAAGAGACCAAGATCAACTGGAAGCCCCCCAGTGAGCTATGAACCTCCAGCGAAGAAATGAATGGACGAAGATGGATCCCCTCCAAAGGCGAGGACAAAGAAAGCACAGTTAAAGGAACCTGAAGAGTTGATGAGGAAGTGGAAAAGTTAAGAAAATCCCTACAGCAAGCGAGACATACGAGAAAAACGTGAGAAGAATCGACAACAAGAAGTGTTAGAGAAATTATTCGTACATGAAAGAACTTTCCGAAGCATCATGACGACGAAGAGATTGAAATGGAAGAGCTCGAAAAATTTGAAGCTGAAGAAGGACAGCGAGGAAGAAGAGGAACTCGAATGGCGAGAGCCCTAGAAATTGAGCTTGGCAACCTGAACGCTGATTGCCACGAACAAAAAAGGAATCAGTCAATAACCACGGTGGGTGGTGATGAGGAGGACGGCGTGATTCCAGTATTGGTGAGGATGCATCTTTCTCTGGGTGACAGAACCGGCTGTCGAACATGATACGCAATCAGAACCTTCCCATGGCATAGTTGCATGAAGCTTGGTAGCATCAATGGCTACCGGAATGATCTTGCCGGGGACTGTGGCAGCTTTGAATGCAATCCCTTCCTTGAAGGTCGGCTCCAGAGTTGTCCTCTCCTCTACTGGTGGAAGGCCTGCTTTGGTTTTCCAGCTTGAGAGACACGGCAGCAGGCGCATCAAAAGCCCTGTAGTACTGCTTTTCACCTTCTATTTGACTGCGGCCATGGAGACGGCGCCACGCCAGTGCCGAACAACCACTAGCTTTGCCGTTTGCCTTGCTTGCACTGGCATTTCTGGATTCTGCGCCTGTATTACCCATGCCCCAAAGAAAGAAAGAAAGAGAGAGAGAGAGAGAGAGAGAGAAAGAGGAATTTGTTAATTCCACCCCCCTTGAATCTTGTTATATTTTTGTATTTTTTTTGGAATTTCATCATTTGAAACCAGAGAAGTATTCACGCTGGTTTACTGTGGGTAGCGTGCGTCGTTACGGAGGCACTGCAGAAAGTTGCTGAAGCGCATCGGAGGCGCTCCCAGCCACCAAACGTTGCTCAAGCTTGGCTCAAACCTTCGAAAACAAGGACGAAGGCTTTGAAGGCTTTAAAAATAGAAAACAAAGGGCTTCAAAAACTTTTGAAGGCAAGGACGAAGGGGGGCAGGTGAGGACAAAGAGTGGTTCAAAGGCTTTGAAGAGTGAAAACAAAGGGAACTTTAAAGGCTTCAAAGGCAAGAACAAAGGAGGAGAGCTTCGAAGACTTCTAGAAACAAAAACACTTTTGTCTCCACTTCTTTGATCTTCAAATACAAAAACAAAAAAACAAAAGAAGATTTAAGAGGAAAAAAATTCCCTTCTTTCTTCTCCTTTAAATTTTCAAAGAATAAAATACAAAAAACAGGGGGTAGAATTAAAAAAAATCCCTTCTTTCTTCTCCTTTGAATTTTCAAAGAATAAAATACAAAAAACAAAAAAAGATTCAAGAGAGGTGGAATTTAGAAAAAATTTCTTCTCTCTCCTTCTCTGATTTATCAAACAATGAAATACAAAAACAAAACAAGATTTAAGGGAATTTAAAATATTCCCTTCTCTCTTCTTCCTTCCTTCCCTCCGCATTCTTGTGCTTCCTTTCCCACTTTCTCGTCTGTAATTTAAAATAAAGTCTACTTCTGTAAACAAAAACCGTCTTGTTGCGACTTCGAACAAGAAAATACAAAAAACAAAAGAAGATTTAAGGAAAGGAATTTACAAATTCCCCTTCTCTTCTT